TGCGTTCACACGTAATTCGAATTCGATTCGCATTAACTATTTCGAATTAGTTTAATTCGCATTCGAATCGTTTTACGTCCAAACGTTAATTCTAATTCGAATTGCAATACGCGTCAATTTTGCTTTACTGTCCGAACGACGTTAACTTTTAATTCGTATCAACAAAAACGGATTTCTAATGCGAATTGGTTAATGCGAATTAGCGAATTCGAATCAATTCGAATTAAAAAGGAAGAGTGTGTGAACGAGATTAGCGAATTCGATTCGCATTCGATTCGAATTCAATTCGAATTAAATGTACGTGTGAACTAGGCACAAGAATACACTTCATCAAAATATTTAAGAAATTAAATGCTAGCCCATTATACATAATTAATTGGCCCAAATTTAATTACGGATAGTAGATCCGGCTTGTTTATATACATATGCTGTAACAGTACATATATCAACTATTTCATTAATCAATTCGTTTATATACATATGCTGTAAAATTTATTCCGAGTTATTCAAAGGATATTTAAACATTTTAGTATACGTTTATGTAGTTCTGGCATTTGTTTTTTAATTGGTACGACGAGGCAACACAAATTACTGCGCCTTCAAAACTTCTCTTGCTTTCAAAATAAACGCTTGATTCACAATAAAGAACAGGTTCAACAGGTCATAAAAAAACAACATAAATTACCATATATTTTGTTCAGCAAGTCAACAGGTCAACAAGTCAGCGGTTCAAAAGGACATGCACCATTTAAATAGTCTACATTTTAACTAGTTTTAAGTTCTACAATTATTTTGGTCAACAAGTCTATGTGTCAGCAAGTCTACAGGTCACAAAATTATTCTTGTAAACATGTTGGTATATCAGCAAGTCGACAGGTCGGCAGTACACATATCAATTATTTCATATATCAATTCGTTTTATCTTTTAGAATTTTGATAGCAAACCAAAACCCAACCCTTATGCTAACCCGTACCACAAACATTACCCCTTACTCTAACCATAACCCTAACCCTACACCTAACCCTAACCCTAATCCTAATCCTTGCAGTAAACTTAACCCGAAGCCTTAACCCTAACCATAACCCTATTCCATTACATTATCCCATAACCTAAACTTTAATCCTAACCCTTTAATTTAGCCCTAATATTAATATTAATAGGCCAGTCAATCTGTCGACCTGTCGACCAGCAAACTTGTCGACCTATTTACTTGTCTACATGACAACTTGTTTAATTTTAATCAGATAAAAACCGAACCACTCATAAACTTTAATTTATTTCAAGATAGAAAAAATCAATTTTTCAATAAGCAATTAGTAGAGCTGATTCGTGTCTTTAGTCTAGAATAGATAAGAACCGAATCCCTCATATAAAAATTTGTATCCTTCCACGTGGACTACAATACCGTATTTCATACTTGATCCAAGGAGGTTATCTCATATAACCTCCTTGCTTGATCCAATTAATCGCGAATATTCAAGAATTAAACAAAGAGTATAAATGTAAAACCAAGCAACTCATTTGATTGCCGTTGACAAATCTCCCCATCCTTAATATTCTAAGTAAGAAAAGTAAACGTAACATAACTGAAGACCTGTTGGAAAACGTATTATAAACGGGATAGCACAACCTAATTTTTACAGTGATGTTGTTTACCATGCCCGTAAATTTAAATACGATCCGGGTAAACTTATCGATCCTGTATATACACTTATTTTAAAAGGTTAACAATTCGATACTGTAATTAAATCTTTAAATATTTTGTTTTTATCGGTATAAATATTGATTTTGCTATTGATAAATTAAAACCCAACTAAAAATTATTGCTACACACATATGCGCATACACGGTCCAACAATCTGATGATGCCTATATTTTGGCAATGCACAGTGTCGTATTTTTCTCTGACTGTTAATGACGTCTTCTTTACACTAAATCCATGTTGGATGTGTACTGATTGATATTTTAGTCTTCGAACACTATTTTTATAAGTTGTAATTGCTTTGAACTAGCTTTCAGTAACTGCGAGTACTCTCATATCTGTTAGTTGTTTTTGCTTTGTATCAATCTGATGAGTTAAACCCTTTTCAACGTCAACCGGTCCTAAGTCAGGAGCCTGCAAATCAGTAGTTATCGTTTGTTGTTGTATATCATACTTGTATTTTTTTTTATTGTTTTGTACATAAATCAGTCCGTTAGTTTTCTCTTTTGAATAGTTTTACATTAATTTTGTATTTTTATAAAGTTGAAAAAAATGTTTAAGAATGAGATTGACCGTATTTTGTAACAGACGAAAAACAAAACTTGTCGACTCCATCCTACAGGATTTTTTTTTTCAGATTTGTTACCATTTTAAAGTGACGTCTTAAGTTGTTGAGTTATCTTAACAGGGGTTCTGAAAAATCCGGAAATGATGATAACAATGTTTAAGATTTACTATGGTTTCCTGGCGATAAAAATGATTAAACAAAATAATATCAGGAAACATGGAAAAAAAATGGATTGTTGTTGTAATGGTTTTCTATCTCATACTTGACACAATTACATTGCCTATACACGGTTAGTTTTGCTTGTGAAATAGAATATCGAGTTCTGAAAGTTATTTTCTTCTCTTTTCTTTTGTTCTGTTACTAACTACATGTCTTTATTTTTTTGCCAGAAATGAAAGAGTTGATGTATTTTTTTTTGTTAATCTGAAATATGTTTAGTTAAATGTATATAATATATTCCGTTTTAATGGGAAAATATTTGATATGGATATATTTGTCTTTTGTGGTTCAACTTCTCAAACATTCCTTTCATACACGACAAAAATTGTATACAAGCCATGTGTTTAAAAAAAATACGCACACAAAGATAACAGGAATGAAAACGTAGTGAGACAAATATTCATTCTATGCTCAGCGACGTAAATAAGGCACCACCCCTTTCGATACATAGTAGTTTCATAATTTCTTGTTTTTGATAAAAAATTGAAAAAAAAGTCTAATGTTTTTTAAGCATAACCTTGAATATAATCCACGATTTACAGAGAAACTTTCGTTTTAGTGCAAACAATGTGGTTGTCATCCAAAAAAGTCACCAAATCAAAAGTCTGAGATGAATCAACTTTATAAGTTACCTGTTTTTACACAATCTGAGACTGTCTTAAAAGAGGTTGGTTGGAAAACTTTAGAGGAACGATCAAAAAGAAGAAAACTACAATTGTTTTATAAAATTCAGAATAATAATGCCCCTGAATATTAATGTAGCATTGCGCCCCCTAAAATTCAAAGTACAACACAATATCCCTTGCGAAATGGACAAGATATTATTTTACCATTTTGCAGGCTGACACTGACTTCCCAATCATTTATCCCCTCAACAATTAAACTTTGGAATAATCTGAACATGTCAGTTCGAAATGTAGACTCATTATCAAAATTCAAAGTAGAATTAAAAAACCACTGCGTTCGAAATGAGAATCAATCTCAACATTATTTATATGGTCCTAGAAAATTGAATATAATCAACCCAATTTAGATGTTCGGCATCTTTCTTGAATTGTGACTTGTTTAGAGCTAACATTATATCTGATCCAACATGTAAATGTGGTTTTGATATTGAGGACATGCACCATTTTTTCTTTGATTGTCCTTTCTATTTAAATGAAAGGGCTATTCTGTTTAATAGTCTCAGCTGGTTTCCCGAAGGCAGCAATTTGGACTTAAAACTATTGGTTTTTGGAAAAGAAACTCTTTCCTATGATCAAAATACGCAAATTGTTAAACAAGTATTCAATTTTATAAAGAGATCAAAAAGATTCCTCGTAGTATAATATCAACATTGGTAAAACGCACATCATCATAATTATCATCATTATCCTAATCTCTGTCGTTCTTTCTTCATCCCCTTTCCTTATTTCAGTATAGTTTAGTAATATTTATGTTAATGCATGCTCACATTCAATTGTCATTGTTATATATATTGTAGTGTGGAAAAGGCTTTATAAGTATGTTTTACTTGTGTCTGATCCTTTTTGCCATGAGCAAATAAAATATGTTTAAACTAAAACTAAATCAACTTTAAGTTGATCATTAAAAAAATCGGTTAAGAAAATAAATATCAAAGTCGTATTCGTGGTTTACAGGTATAAAGATACATGAAACTTTAGTTTCCACAATTTTGCGGCATTTATCGGTTGAAAATGTAGTATTTTGAGTTGTGTCAAAAAGGAAATTTTCACAGAATTTGATGTTACTACTGCAGAAATTTTGTAAAAAATTTACTTAATATTTCTAACACTTTTTTAAAAAACGACCATTCAAATATAAATTTTTACTTGCAAGAAATTATTTTGGGCGGTGCGTTTCTTTTATTGTTGAGTATATTTTTGTAGTAGTTAATATAACTAATTAGGCATTTTATTTTCCAAACTCAGTTTCAGAAGTAAATTAAAAATCACATTGTTTTCTAAGCTTTTTTAAACGTTTGTAAACCATTTATAGTATCATATAATAGTTTCCTTTTTTTAACCAGAAAAGGTAGGGCCCATTTCCAGGGTCGTCGTTCGATGGATTATAGAGACGTTAGGAGGGTTACCGAGACGTTCGATATGTTATAAAGACGTTCGTTGGGTTATAGGACGTACGGTGGATTACAGAGACGTTCAGTGGGTTACAGAGACGTTCAATGGGTAACATAAACGTTCGATGGGTTACAGAGACGTAAATGTTTTAAAGACGTTCGATGGGTTATAGAGACGTTCAATGGGTAACAGAGAATTTCGGTGGGTTACAGAGACGATCGGTGGGTTAGAGAGACATTCGAAATGTTTTAAAGAAATTTGATGGGTTATAGAGACGTGTTAATTGATGCAAAAGTAACAAACTTACTCTACAGTTTAGACAAAGAACTGCCAGTTCACAGTTTAGTATGTAATGTGCTACCAAAGGTTCATGATAAAACCATCTTTTAAGATATTTACCATTCCCAAGTTATAATAACAAAGCTTTCTTACCTCCTATAGTAACATTTCAATTGTTGTCTTCCCTTCTATGTGTATGTCGGAAGTACTGACCTCATTAGATGATACATGTGTGAATTTGTTTATATTTTTATCAGTCAGACTTAATATGATAAGATAAGTGTCCATATTTGCATTGGGATATCGAACGATTGGTCATGTAATATATTGGCTTGCTTTATCAGTTGACGATATAAATCTAAAGGCTTCAATCAGAATAACTCTTTCTAGGCGAAATGATCGCAAAAAAAATCCTTGTACCAAACCGTGTATGGCTATCATTTAACAAGTATATCTAATACAGATAATTTTGAGAAAAACCAGAAAATAGTTTTATACGACAATAAACGGTCTCGGAGAGAGACACGATCTCAGAGAGGCATATTGGTATGAAAACTACAAACAAACATATGCATAGAATAAGCATGAATTAAAGCTTGTATTACATACACAAATGTGGCTTAATGTGAAGAGTTCATCAATTTAACACACCCTAAAAATAATATAAATTAAAGAAAATAAACAAAAAAATAAAAATTGAAAAATCCGTCCAGGAGTTTAGCATTGGTAAACTTCAAATTTGCTTCTTTTATAGCCATTAATCATGGAAATGACTCAGAAACAGCCATGTTACAGTAAATAAACTGTTGACACATAGATATGTCTCGCCTGTATATAATTTGAAAGTAAAATGCAAATGTTGAAATTAAAAACTCAATACTTTTTAACATGAAAATTGTGCAAAATACTCAAAGTCAATGAACCATAACTGAAGGAAAATGGTCAAATAATTTCGGAGATACAATTTATGCCAATGCTAAAACAACTGCAAACGAAATATTATTGACTTATCATAAGTGGTTTCCCTTGAACTGACCTAATCACAAACTTTAACATGTAAACTATGCAAAAGTTTTAAAGTCAATAGACCATGACTGAGGGGACGGGGCAAAATAAACTCAATGGAATTGAGATGTACCAATGCTTATGCAATTGCAAACCAAATATCATCGACTTATCATAAGTAGTTCCTCTTAAACTGACATAATCACAAACTGTAACATCTAAACTACTTAGTATGCAAAAGTTTCAAATTCAATAAACCATGACTGAGGAGGGGGGGAGGAGGGGCAAAATAATTTCCATGGAAATGAGATGTGTCAATGCTTATACAATTGCATACCAAATATCATTGACTTATCATAAGTGGTTCCCCTTAAACTGACCTACTCACAAACTTTAACATGTAAACTATGCAAAAGTTTCAAAGTCAATTGACCACAAGTGATAGCTTTTCCAAAAAGCTATCATGATGATATTTGAAAATGTTTTTGCATTGTAGTTTAATTCATGCAGAATAGCTTTCATAGTATATAAATTGTATAGTGGTTTGCATAAGATTAAAAGGCTAAAACAAGTTTGAAATTTTCCGATTTATTTTATAAACACCGGTATAAAGGGGGTTGTAATTACTCTGCGTTTAGGTTTTTTTCAAAATAAATATGTTATTCATTTACTTCTTTCGAAGTTTTTTGTATATTTCTTTGTGCTAGAAAAGTATGCATGTCACTTCCATCTGTATCTATTTCATTCATTACAGGTCTCGAAAAGTGCATATGAAACGTAGTAAAATTTGAACATTAAAGACCACAAACATGTATTTCAATTGATTTCTCACATCTTTTCAAAATGATCCTTAAAATTAAGAGCTTTAATGTATTATCATTTTTGTTGTTGTTGTTGAAGATTTCATGTTGGATTCACGCTATTAATGATTTGTAGTTGGCTTGCCATGTGAAATACATCATGCCTCTTTTTCTATATTTAAACAAAGAGTATCCTTAAAATTAGAGTGTTTTTGCTAAGAAATTTGTTTTGTTTGGGTTTTTATTGGACTTAAATATGCATTATTAAAAAAATACTTAAAAGGAGGATTTATGATAATAGCTATTGTAAGCGCCTGCAATTAAAAACATCATGAGTAATTTCGCATTTCTTTTGTTATTGTTTTACTTGTATTTGCTATACCATTGCTTTCAAGTAAAGCTCTTTTCTTGTGTTGATTTATACTGAACAATCTTTTATACACATTTTTTCATTAAAAAATTAAAACGAGAAGGGTTGAGATCTAGAAAATAAAACTTAGCGTTAGCATGACATAATAATGTTAATGTACTGGTCCCAGATCGTGATTGTTCCGATAAATTAACTCTAGGAAAAGGGTTTGTCGAGGCCAAAATATTACTTCATTTTGTATTAAATCCTGCACAAAAAAAACAATTACTTAGTCTATATTAGATATCTTTTTTTGACGTCACGTACAATTAGCATCAATTTCAATTTTCCAACAAACACAAACAAAGCAAGTGAATTTCCAATGGTTTTTATGGTTGGGAACATATAGCACACACGTCAACAAAAGGATTTTTTAACATTATAATTCTAATACATGCTATGACAAATATTTATTTGATCGAATTCTGTGCTTTATGCCATCTATACCTTTCGTTAAAATACAGAAGATTTGGAAAATTTCATCAAAATCTGTGTGTGAGCGTATTTCGGGCATGGATTCCAACGTAAGTTTTTATCGTCTAAGAGTCGTTTTTTTTTCTTTCTCCCTTTTGATTATTTCTCGTCTTATTTTATTCACGTTTTGCTATCTTTGTTTGGAAAGCTAGACATCGGCTAGCCCAGCCCAAACCCTCCTCAGGTGATTGAGAAATTTACCCCTTTCCAGTGTTATTGCATTATCCACAAAAACAAATGTTAAATTTCTAAAGATAAAGTGACCTTTACTCTAGTTTCGAATTGCCCCAACCAATCAACGAACGTTTACTATTTTAGAGTCAGTAATATCTTACAATAAGCTAGTAGAAAAGCATTTATTCCGAAATCTGTGAATCGTTCAACTTATAATACCGTCTCCGAGGACGCGGTAATGACTGCACGGTGTATATTCAGAACACTTGCTTTCCGATTCAATCGACCGTAAAGCTTGATTTCATACTTTTTTTTACGAAGAAAACGCAAGACTGTAAACGATTGAACACAAGAAAGCAATTCTTTTGTATGAAACTGTATACAACATTTTAAACTAAGCCAGTTAACAAATGATTTATTGACTTTCCTTTTATCCGTATCACCAAATTCATTCATCTAACTATAAATGTCCGTTAAAAAAATCATATGAATCGCCGTCTTTCAGATGGTCAAGTTTCAGCATCGTTTGGGGGGGAAAGACTGCTTTTCGGTTTTCAGGGAACGACTTTTTTCAGCTTGAACAGTTTACTAATCATCGGACCACATGCAGATGATAAATATGTTTTTGTTCTTGATGTTTATTAACATCCTACGCCACATCGGAGGTAACAGGTCGAATCGGCATTTGGTCGGATCGGCAACAGATCATATCGACAGAAATGAACTCATAAAAAACAGCCCACGTTAAACTTGAGGCCCCTTGTTGTACAAATTAACACATCTTTTTTTATCCACCACCTAACATTTTATAAAAAACAAAAGTTTTATATTTTTATATATTTGTCAATTAGCACGAGTGGAAAATTTTCGCTGCATTTGGCAAGCTGACCTAAAATGAAATGTCCCGTATAGTAGGTATTATTTAAGTCTGGTACACTTTCAAACTGTACATATTGTAAAATTTTGCCTGTATTTTACAATCAAATAGTCTTTTTAACAGACAAAATGGTATTCCACTTCCATTCGTAAACACTTCTTATTCCATTAAGTTATATTTCCTTACATTCTTTCTAAATACCCATAAACTGAATCGACTAACCTGCACAGCGATCACAGCGACAAAGTAACAATTTCAAAGATAAAGAAAAGTGAAAAAAAGAGAAAGCGCGAAGGGGAAAGATATATGTAGTTAAAGTAAGTTAGAAAAGGTGAGGAATGAATGCTATCAATATCATATAACTCTTCACAAGAAACTGATTCAGAGCAATTTAGTTTTGTATAAAGATAAGGAGTTGTAGTATGACTGCCAATGAGACAACTATACACCAAAGTTCAAATGAAGTGGATGTAAGGAATTATAGGCAACAGTACGACCTTCAACAATGATGATGATGATGATGATGATAATGATGATGATGATAATGATGATGATGATAATGATGATGATGATGGATGACTGCTTAACGTCTAGCGGCAAATTAATATGCATATTCAGGACATATTAATGTAATATGAATATTTATCCTGCTTTCTACTAGACCGACACGCTAAGCCGGATCTTTAACGTGCTAGTTCACAGTCCGCAAGAAAACATGTCACCTTACCCGGACACATTGTTCTGACTCCGAGCCCACCAGCCATTGTTCTTACTCTTCAATGCCGCGTGTTTAGTGGAAATGCAGCAAATACCAATTTTAAAGTCTTTGGTTTGACCCGGCTGGGGTTCGAACCCACGACCTCCCGCACTCGAGGCGAACACGCTACCACGAGACCACCGATGCGGTTACCTTCAACAATGAGAAAACTCATACCGTATAGTCGGCTATAAAAGGCTCCGACTTGAAAAGTATGAAACAATTCAATTGAGAAAACCAACGGCCTAATTTATAACAAAACAATTTACGAAAAACAAATATGACAAACATGAACCAACGACAACCACTGAACTACAGGTTCGATCCTGACTTGGGACAGGCACATACAGTATGTGGCAGGGTTAATAGATATAAGAAGATGTGGTATGAGTGCCAATGAGACAACTCTCCATCCAAGTCAAAATTTATAAAAAGTAAACCATTATAGGTCAAAGTACGGTCTTCAACACGGAGCCTTGGCTCACACCGAACAGCAAGCTATAAAGGGCCCCAAAAATTACTAGTATAAAAACCATTCAAACGGGAAAACCAACGGTCTAATCTATATAAAAAACGAGAAACGAGAAACATTTAGGAACCACATCAACAAACGACAACTACTGAACATCAGATTCCTGACTTAGGACAGGTGCAAACAATTGCAGCGGGTTTAAACGTTTTAATGGTACCAAACCTTCACTCTTATCTGAAACAACAGTGTAACATCACAACATAGAAAGACGCACTATAAAATATCAATTGAAATGGCTTAACTCAATCAAAAGAAACATGTTT